GACCAAATCGTTGGATATCAACACGGGCAACCCTTCCAACGTTACGGTAGCGGGGCAAGCAGTGGAGAAGGTTGAAAGTTTCGAATATCTTGGCAGCCAAATAGCGTCGGACGGCGGGAGTAAGAGCGACATAGGTGCACGAATCAAGAAGGCTAGGGCTGCCTTTGCGAGTTTACGAAACGTATGGAGATCCAACCAGATAAGTCAACGCACTAAAATCCGAATATTCAACTCGAACGTGAAATCTGTGTTGTTATACGCCAGCGAGACGTGGTGTGTATCAGCGGAGAACACTCAAAAGCTGCAGGTCTTCATCAACCGATGCCTGCGGTATATAATTCGTGTCTGGTGGTCTCACAACTGGATCTCGAATGCCGAGCCTCATCGTCGATGTCATCAGAAGCCGATAGCAGCAGAAATTGATGTTGCTTTTACACTTGGATCGATAGGAGATTATTGCCTACTGCAGAATTGATGATAATATCAACTTTTGAAATATTGCACATAGGAGTGAAAAATTTCGCTGAGGTATAGCTGGAAGTCATTGATGAAGAAGACTATTGTTGGTGTTTACATTCCATGGGCACATCTATCGGCATACCTTCGGCACAACCCCGTAAGCATCGGATTGTTGCAAATAAAAGGGGAGCACTGCTGGACAACTATCATTGAAGTTGTTCACAACATTACGTGCTGTTTGACTGTATATTCAGGAACATACTCTAATTGAATATACCAGAGGAACTCAGGCCAGAGGTTCACTTATAGATCTAAATACGAAATGTAGGTTCTAGAGTGAGAGGCAGTTAATTAGACCCCATTAGTACCCTTAATTCAAATAATGCTGCAACTCACACAAAACAATCTACAGAAGTCAATTCGTCATGTTCCCCACCGGTTCCAACTCTTTCCGGCCGCTGATAGACCATTGCTTTCCACATGACGAAAGGTTAGGTTTCTGGTCTGCCTTTGAGGACCTTATAAAACCCTAAAACACAGGACTTTTATTATCATATGAACACAAAACACCAAAATTTCGCACACCCTCCACTTCCCGCGTCATCCTCAATCCAATTTATCCTTGCGATTTCAAACCAAAACATTCAAGGTGTCAGAAATACCAGGTTGCCGGGATGGGTATTTTACGAACAATCGCAGCTTGCTCTATGATCGGCACAATCGGCACACTGACAAAAAAGATGACCCAAGATTGGTGTGCGGAGTGATCTACCCCTTGGGAAATCCACTATTCACGGTGTGCTCAAATAATTTTCGGAACGTTTGACGGTCGAGAGGAAACCGAAAAGTGATAAAACCATTGGACGTGCTGATCCTGTCATGGACCGAAAGGTGAAGGAAGCCCCGAATCTCTCTGTTTGAACGGTGGCTCGTAAAATATGAATGTCACCTGGTTATGTCCAAAAATCAAAACAGCGTTTGGGGCTGAAGTCATATAAAGTAAGAACAGCTCCAAATCGCATCGACGAACAAAATTTGACAGCAAAATCACGGGTTCGATATTTGTACTGCAAATATTTGACGAAGTTTTCATGCGTTGATGAAACTTATGCCCTGGAGGATTTCAAGCAGCTTGCAAGGCCAAAAATGATACAGCTGAGCATTGCAGAACGAAGAAGGTATCGAAATTTCCCAAAAAATACTTTATTTGGCAAGCAATTTGCACGTGTGGCAGAAAGAGTCAATCATTCGTCACTACAGGCACAATTAACAAGAGAGATTACCCAGAAAGAGTGTCTGCAGAAGCGATCGCTACCCTTCATGCCATTATGCTAAATCCCCAAATCTGCATATTGTCCAGAGTTACGTTCAATCGAGAGATATTGGGCTCTGATGAGCGGAAGCTTTCTGGAAAGAAACACGGAATCAAAGATATCAAACACTCCAAAAAATTTGGACAAAGACGGCCACCACGGTATCTAACGAGTATGTACCAGTGCTACAAAATCTCGAAAATTCACGGTGATATTGACAAATTCTGCTTTGGCCACTCATTTGAGCTAACAGTCACAGTCAAGGCAAACCATGTCAATTGTCAATGACAATGCTATCAGTGACGAACCCGTGCAGATTTTTGTAGTTACAAAATTTGTGTATGGATTTTGAAAATTATAGATGAACCTCTTAAAGAAGCCCAACATACTATTTGCTTTCGTTATGATTGTATTATAATGTTCTACAAAAGTGAGTTTGGAGTCTAGGATTACACCTAGGTCCCTTTCAATTTTACATTTTTCTACATTTTGGTTGCCTAAAAATATTTCAAAAAGAGGTGTTTCTATTTTTCCCAAATAAATCCACCAAGTGTTATATAAGTTGATTTCATTCTAGTGTCGCTAGAATTACTAATTTTCATGACGTCTGCATATATAAGAACTTTTATTTTTTTAAGTATAAAGGAAATGCCGTTTACGTAAAAAATAAAATATCGCGCAAAAGTCTGTCAATGACAATGACAAATCACTGTTTCATAGCGCCTTCTATAAACTGCAAAACCCATGCTCCGTATACGTTGCGGAACTCGCAGCCATATTTTACGCAGTAGAGCGAATTGCCTCACTACATTCTGACCATTACTTCATTTTTACGGATAGTCTTAGCTCATTGGAGGCTATTCTTTCAATGAGACCGATGAAGCACTCCTCGTACCACTCCTCCTTATTTATTTATTTATTTCGTCAACCAACGTAGACTAGTACATATTCGAATACAGTTTTGTTTTCTTAAATTTATTTATTTATTTCGGTAACTTTGGAAAAGAGGTTAAAAGAATAATTTTGTCTTTGAAAAAAAAAAGCAGTGTCAGCTTTCCTATTTTTTTATGAATTATAATGCCTTATGGAGTAAAAATATTGTTTTAGTTTATGCCGAGACATTGTAAAGTCAATGGTTTCGCAGTATTGATTGTAAGCGGTTTAATGGACCATATTTTGCATAATTTGTGGGATGATGTTTTATGGCAAATAAATTTCGATTTCGGAGTTGCCGAGTAGGTGCATGGAAATTTAATTTTGATAAAAGTTCTGTAGAGTCAATGCACTGCGAAACGATATCGTTTACAAATGAAACCATTGCATATTCACGACGCTCTTTAATGTTTGTATGTATATTTGAAGGCAATATATAGTGTTTTAATTGTGTATGGGTCCTGAAAGTTCTAGCAAAAGCGCTTGATAAAGCCTAGCATGTTATTTGCCCTGTGAATAATTGTGTTGTAATGGTCTATGAAAGTTAGTTTAGAGTCTAAGATAACTCCTAAATCCCTAACTATTTCAAATTTTTCTACATTTTGATTTCCTAGTGCAATTGAAATATTTGAAGTTGTTCTTTTCCTGCTAAATGATATTAAGTTGCATTTTTTTTACATTCAATTGTAGTAGACTTTTTTTGCACCATATGTAGAATACGTGTATTTCATTCAGGAATATATTGATGCCTTCTTCATTTCTTATTTCCCAAAAGAGCTTCATGTCGTCGGCATAAATAAGCAATTTAAGTTGTTTGAGAATGAAAGAATAATGTCGTTAACGTATAGAATAAAAAGAAGAGGTCCCAAATGAGAGCCTTGGGGGACGCCTGAAGTGACTTGAATTGGTCTCGATTTCAATTTCGAGCCGTGTTGCATGTCAGTAATTCTATTTTTGCGGCCCGTTAGAGACATCTTGGCGAGCCAAGATCTCGACTATTTAAATTTAATTTATGTGTTTTTAAAACAGATCGACCTAAGGATTTAGTAGTTAGTGTCATCTTGTGTTCTCCCAAGTTGTTATCTACCCATCGGTGTACCCCCATGTTTGTCTTTTTCGTCAGTATGTCGCTTAGTTCGAGATCAAGAGCACATTGCTCGAAAAAACCTTGTGTACTCAATCCCTACCCTGCAATCCGTTTGTTACAATTTGTAACTCCTAACCTCGTGATATCCGTGAGTAATCGGCCCCCGCTTTACTAACGTAAGTTTTAATTAATTTTGTAACCCAAACGATGAATATCGGCTCTGCAAAGCTACGGCAAATGAGCCTGGAAAAATAAATGCGTTATTAAAAAAAAGACAAATCACTGGTATGTACAAACCCTAATGGATGGTTTAAGCGCAAATTTCTAAAATGTTATGCAAATATCGAATAACTATGTTTTGACTGCGTGAATTTTTAAATCATATGCCTTGAAACCGAAATAAACAACTACAATTGAAATATAATGCAATATAATGCAAAATTTGTGTTTTACTTCAGTTTTGATGTGTTTGTTGAATATCTTATAGGCAGTGGGTGACTGGTATGTTCAAAACAGTATATCAAACTTTTATGACTTCCGGCCCCGAATGAATAAGTCACTTCCATCTTTGTGAATCTTCAATCAACATTCGCCATCACTCACCATCCAATTCAATGGCAAAGTTTTGCAAGCTCTTCTTCTTAGAAGCTGTACATGTACGTACACATACACACCTATCCGTCAGTTTCGTTCTTTTCGTTCCATAAAAATCAAAAGCACCAACATTGCTCTAAGTCCCCGAACTGTCCCCGTTTCCCACTCCACGTCGGAATCGGAGCAAATAAAATTTATGTTTTTCCTCCCAACCACCGAACATTCGCTTTTCTCCAACCTCCGTTGAAGGTAAAGAAAATGAAACTGAGAAATTTCCGGCTTCCGACTTGCATTGTTTTGATTCTGGCTGCCAGTTTGTTCTAGGTTATATGGAGTCTTCGTGCTGAACATTCTCGGTTTCTTCTTACTCGTCCGAGTCCAAAATGAATGATCTTTGGAAAATCGACTCATTTTCTCAACAAGTATATGAGAAACTCGCCTTATTCCAGGCACTTCTCAAACTTCTCCCATCACTCGAAGTCAACCGAGAGATCTTTAGTCGAAACAGAAAAGCCAACAATGTTCCCAAGAGATCAATTCGGAAATTTGCTCACAACACCCAGCAACGAACATGTTTCATTTTCTTCATTTTTTTTTTCTATTCTCCATTGCAGGTTCCTGTACGGCAACCAAATTAGACGGATTCCCGAGGGAGCTTTCGGCGGACTGCCATCGTTGAAGCGCTTCCGGCTCGACGACAATCCACTGGAATGCGATTGCTCGTTGCTGTGGTTTAGCAAGTGGCTCCGAAGCCTGGGTCACACCGCTCAGGCCACCGGCGGTTGTGCCGTGCCGGAGTCGCTCGTCGGGAAAAACGTGGCCGATTTGACCGATGACGATTTCCACTGCAGTGAGTATTGTTTGCTTTAGGGAGGTTAAGTTGGAGGAAATCGTGCTTTGATTTACGGGGGGGTGGCTTCCGGAACGAATTGGACGGCATGGTGTACGTGGATGTAAATTCGCTTTGATTTGAAAATTCAAACCATAATCGTATTACACCCAGGACTTGCTTGGGAAAGACACACACACTTAGAAAAATTGATGTAAATTTAGGTGCTCTAAGACTGACATATACGAGCTTCAATTTTGACGTAAAATTGAGTCATAAAAGACGCGAAATTCGGCTCAATCAAACCTACTTTCAGCCGGCGCCGGTGGTGTAGTGATAAGCGTGACTGCTTTCTCACACCCCAATGGGTCTGGGTTCAATCCCAGCCGAGGTCGGTGGGATTTTTCTGAGGCATAAAAATCTCTGGTCACGTCTTCCTTCGGAAGGGAAGTAAAGCCGTTGGTCCCAGCCCATGTGTGTTTGAATGGGTGCGATATCCTACGCAGGTGTGGAAGCTGCCTTCCTGCACATTCGATTGCCGGCAATGGATTGCAATCGATGTCCGTCGGTGATTGGCACTAGATTGCGGAACAGAGACCGACGTTAAATAAAAGAATGAATGAATGAAACGTACTTTCAAACTTTTCAGTCCCGGAGCACTTAATTTTACATGACATGTTTGTTTACGTCTCATCCTTTATGCCAAAGATGAATTCCGTCACGTGTAAGATTAGGTATTTCTAAGTGTGCAGTTTAAGGTATAGAATAATTTATTCATGACAAATTGTCAGTTCAGCACCAAGCACCTTCATTGAAGTGCGAATCAATAGGTCATCCATGGTCACACTTGTATAGTTTTTGTATAGTTGTTGTATAGTGCTCATAATTATTATACAAACAATGCTCATGCTCGTAGTTTTTCATTCAAGTGTATCCGCGGCATACAACGAATACTTTTTTGACCGTATCGGTAGTGATTATTTGGAAAATTCAATTGAAATGCATGGCATCCTTATATAAAAAACACAGAATAAAACGTTACAAAATGTCAGTTTCTTCTGGTTTCTCAAAGACAGCGCCGTCAGAGAAAGTGGTTTAAATAAGCGTAGCTTAAGTAATCTGCCGCATTGATAATTGAATTGATGTTTATATGAAAGTCGATTTTAAACTAATTTATTATAATTCAGTTTAATTTCAATTGGGTTCTTTAGGGGTTTTACATCGCATTTACATCGCAAATGGAACTGAAATCCAAAATTTCATCTATTTTGGAGCACTGGAACTGTTTATAATAAGTGTGATTACATAAGCAAAAATCACCTTCTTAGCGCCTCTCGGTGGTACTTTGTATGGGAGTGAGCTGTCAATATGTTAGTTTTGTGTCATACAGTTATAGTACGTTCAGACTACAGAGTTATAACATGTTATAGCGCTATCTTGATGGTGGTTTCTGTGTTGCAATTATTTGACAACCGTTATAACATGTTATAACTCTCCAGTCCAGTTTTAAGTGATTAGTTTGCTTTAAATCTTGATTTAAAAATCAAGATAGAAGTAAATAGGATTGAAAAAAATATCTTTGTGCTCAGAAAACGAAGCCCTTTCAGATAATGTTCAGAAACCGATATATTTTCCAAATTATAGAACCCAATTGCGATTAATATTTAAACATGGTATTGGATAGCGGAAAACTATTAGTAGCTCCTGGTGCAGTTCTTATTTTTTATATTGTTGCGGATTTGAACGAGGAAACAGATAATGAAATTTATGATGATGTAAAAGATTATAAGAGACCTGACTTTTAAATTTATTCACCTTTCCATACGTACCGTTGGATTTGATGATCACAAATTGTTAAAATATTGTTTAAAATCTAAAACTGCTTCTTGATTCTAAATTCGTCCTACGAGTTTCAATTCCGTCCTAACGCATTGAAACGTCATTAGATTTTCTTCGTCCTACGGATAAACGTAGAAAAAGGGGATTCGCAAGGAGTGCTTCTTTTGTTTTGAGAACAAAGCGCGTAAATATTCATACAATGCGCTATAATAGCAAAGATGAATACTAAGATGAAACTGTCGGAAGAAAAACTTTCTATTTTAGTGTCCTTTTTCACGGTCCCTTTCATCCAATGAATACCTCCCGTATGCAAGGTAATTTTGTGGTTTTGCTGCCCCTTTGGTAGAGATGAAATTTTGCGCACTTTTTTTATCAAAACAATCACACCAAAATCAGAGATGTCCCATTTTTTAATTGCTCGATTAACAACTTATCGATTATTTTTTGTTCGCTGTGCTGCCATTTTTCCACCATTGAGAGTGCAGCACATGTTTGAAGCGATCGGTGATGACCTCTGGAGATGTTAATGCTTATATCGGCATGATATAACCGATTACAAATATTTTACTTTTCGGTTCGTTAATCGATTAATCGAGTATTCGAATGAAAATCGGCCATCACTAGATGAATGTGAAACGTCATTTCAAATATAAGGACCGTACATAAATAATGATACAATTTGAAAGGGACCGGGCTTATCACAAATTACGTCCCCACGGTCACTGAAATAAACACGAGTGTTCACCGGTTGATAATAGGATTTATGTTGTAGCTAATGAACTAACGCATCGGAACAAACCTATGGACGAGTGCACCGATGGATTTGAGTTCACTCACTCGAGAAAAAGTGACACAAGCTGCGGGCAATGTTTACTAATCATGAACATGAATAATGAATAATGAACATTTAGTGTTCATGATTAGTAAACATTGACCGTAGCTTAACACGGTGAAAACCTTGATAATCAGTGTTCACTCGGCTGTCGACAGAAGCAGACCACTCTCGATGTGTGTCACGCGATCGTCTGTTTACTCGGCAGCATTGTTCTCCATCAGCAACCATTTCGTGATGAATGTGTGAGTGCTGACCACGTTTTGCGTTAATTGCTTCAATGGAAGCACTCTGACCTCCGTTGGTGAATATGCCATACAATGAAACCACTGGAAGCGGCTCCCGTTCTGGTGGAGGAGGCTTATTGGATAGCGGAAGATAAAATGTTTATTGTGTTGTACCTTTGGACTATAAAACATAGATGTATTGTATAGTTAACAAGAATCATCAGCTTTACAGGTTGAGCCTTATCAAATAAATTAATAAACAAAAAAAAAATCATTGATATTATTGATATTTTCAGCTCGATAGAACGGAAATGGGCGATTACGACGAAGTAGCGCTGTACCCTACTTATTTATAAATATTTAAGCCTCAAAAATTAAATTTCAACATTAATTTCAATACTCTCCACGCTTTTCCTCGTGAAGCACTCGTGTTTATTTTCATTGCTCGGTTTGAACCACGTTTAACGGTTTGATTGGACCTTTAAGTTTCAGTCTTCGCGTGTCTCTTATTTACCATCGTCTCTGGTGAAAAATGGGATAGATATTTTAAAGTCCTTATATTTCTCAAATGAAGCTGTTATACATTTTTCGATTATTATAAGGGGGATAAAAACTCAATAAATGAACTAGGGGAAATGACTCTAATATTGGCCTATGGATCTAAGATTGGGCCCATCGCTAAATTTTATTTATACAATACAAGAATAATAGCATAAGCAATCTACTAATGATTTTCAGAGTATATGCTACTATTATACTTTCGAAGTACCTATTAACCTAACTGAAGTAGTTGCTGCATAAAGTTTTAAATGTTGTTAAACTTCTTGCTGTCTTGTATTCCCTCGGTAGTTCATTCCATAATCGAATCGAACGATAGCGCAACGATTCATTTAAAAAATTGAAGAGCATCTTGGAATAATAAAAACACTTGACCTAGAAGATTGTGAGTGAATAAAGAAATTTCGAAGATGTATCAGACTTTTGTTTAAAATTTTATAAGTTTGAATACACATTCTATGTTTCATGTAGTTGACGAAATCGTACCCGTGTAATAAATAAGAAAAGTTAGAAATGTGATCGTATTTCCGCAGGTCGTGCACGTATCTGGTAACGGCATTAAATACCAAGTTTAATTTCTTTGTATTTACTCATTATTTGTTTTAAATTGCTTGATTAAACCAATGTTTTGTAAAGTTCCAATTAACCTTTAAAATTGTTATCATTATTACATGTCAAACGGTCGATTATGCTTTTATTGTTTTCATTCAGACCTTTTATTGTGATGTTTAAGTTTTCTTTGATGAGGTTTTTACAATCATTAGTGATTATTGCAATGTATGTATCATACTTTATGAATGGTATGAATATATTTGGCCAGCCTGTAAGATACCCTTAATTTTTATCCAGCTTTCCACGCTAGCTAATGGCGGACTGAGTGGGTACAACTGCGGTGGGTAAGACTCTGCATTTGACGCTAGCTGGATGTTTCTGATCAATCTGTTATTTGACTGTCACTTGTTTGTTTATTGTTTTTGTAATTGTGTTGCGAACCAAAAATGTTGTCATCAAAAGTTTCTTCACTTTGTGCTGAAGATATCGAGCGATATAAAGATAAAATCTCAATAGTCAGTGGCGAAGATCCTTACGACTTCAAGTACGATTCAAAAACCCTTCCACTTACTGTGGATTACGATGGAATATTATCGTATTTGCTCAGCACACTATCGTTCCGAACGGGTGAACCAATGCGAAACAAAAAATCAGTGGAAGCATATAAAAGCTTTGAACGTGGTTTCGTAAAAGAAGTAAAAGACTTAAAACGAGGCGAAATCTTCGCGGTCTTAGGAAAGGTAATACCTGAATCTTTTAATAATTCTTTTAGTGTCATTTTGTTTTCCATAGGTGCTTCACAGTATACGTATAAATGAACCCCCGGCTACTTGCTGGATTCTTATCCAAGATGAAGCTTGTGACGATAAGGAGATAGGAGAGATTATGTGTGCTCATTGCGATTGCACTGCTGGAGCTGGTGAAACATGCTCTCATGTAGCTGCGGTATTGTATGCACTGAATTTTGCAAGGGAAACGTGTTTGGGGAAACAGGTATATTATATGTTACTTCTCCATTATGTGAAAACTTCATTACTATTTACATGTTACAGATATGTGTGACACAGCTTCCGTCTTACTGGACTACACCATCAGGTAGTCTTCAAGAGAATCTTTATGCTCCTGTCAACGAAATCAGCTTTGGGCAATTTGTACGAACCAACTGCGAGCTACGAGACAGCAATATTGAAAGGTCCGAGAGTGACTTGCAACAACTCATTCGACAAATTAATGACTCTGGTCAAGCTGTGGCTGTTAGTGGTGCATTTTTTGAATTCGTCAACAGTTATAATGATGACAGTGAGGAAAATAATAGACGACAGTTTTTTGAAAGCACATATTTGTTTCAATCAATTTTCGATGAAAGCCTTGTAACTCAGCCGCTAGAGAATTTGATAGAATATGGAAGAGAAATGGATTGGAATTTCAGTGAAGATCATTGTAAACAAATTGAAGAAGTGACACGCGAACAGTCTGCAGACCCTTTGTGGTTCAAATTGAGATACGGCAGAGTAACTGCATCATACTTTGGGAAATGTGTGATGACTAAGATAGAAAAACCTTCACTTTCGCTAATTAAAGTAATTTGTGGACAAAATGCCGTTCAAGATTTTCCTGCAACGTTATACGGGAAGCGTAATGAACATCGTGGAGTGTTCAAGTTCAAAGAAACCGTGCATTTTGGGAAGCAAATTCTTTGAAAGCAGCAAGATTTTTTGAATGCGTACTTGTACCGGAAATGCTTGCGCATTACTTTTCATCGCCACAAAAATTATAATCTGGAACTAGTTAAAAGGAAGGTTAGGGTCAAAACGAGGGTTAAAAGGAAAATACTCATGTATAAGCATCGAATTGCTAAATAATTGTATGCAATAAATTAATCATTTATTAACAAGCTTTCAGTGTACATTCATTTAATTTTTGGTAGACATAGATTTATGAGGGCACAGCATACGTTAACTACCATATGTAATACATTTATATTGTTGTGTTCATGGTTTAGCATAGTGATTGGAATAGGTCCATTTAAAATTTCATATTTACCCCTCAATGCTCCAATTGTTCGTTCAACTTCATTTCTGACTGATGCCAATGACCTCGTTCTCTCGACAGCCATAGAACTTAGCTGTTTTTTTCTCGTACTTGAATCTGGGACCCTCAAGGATGCTCCCTTATCGACAACAACTTTCTGGATTGTGAAACCCCTATCTGCTAATACCAAATCATTTTCTTGTATTTGGTCCATGTATCCACAGGTCTCTGTAATTTGTTTGTCGGATGTTCGTCCGCAGTAAGGTTTTGAAACGTATGAAACTGATCCAAAAGGAGTTATACTAATAAGGAGCTTGGTTGTGTAATGGTGTTTGTAGTTAGAAAACATCTTAACAATCGCGTCCTTGCACCCTGGCTTTTCCGTGAATATTTCGAAACAATCTATGATCGAAGTAACTGTTTCGTTCTTGAATATTTTCCTGAATTACACAGGCATATTTTTTGCGAGAAAATAATGTGAAGGCCATTTGATGAGCAATTTCAACTGTTGGTACAGAGAATATAGCCCTTAATAAAAGTACTTACACAGTGCAGTTACCGAAACTTGAAAAAGTACGACAAAGTCGTGAAACATAAGTTCAGTCTCAGTCGCATCAAAACCATGATAAATACTTGCTCTTTACTCAGAATAGACGAAAAAACTAATATTCGCTTTTCTACGAATTCATAAACCAATTTCAAAGTTGTGAAAGTTGGTAATCCTGTGAAATTAAGAGTTTTTTTGTCATCTCCCTTAAAGCTGTTAAGATCAAACCGAATAGCATCAATTTTCTTCTGGTCAATTATTTGGCCCCTCATTGATATAACTTCTATCTCGGCTTCTACATCGTTATTTCCTGGTGTATGACGGTTCGTTTGCGGTTCTAACTCATCACTGATCGAGTACTCCATATGGTGATCCTCTGTACCTGGTGTAGTTTTTTCAATGATAATTGGTTCTCTTAAGTTGTCTTCTTCTATGTACTCTTCCTGTAGGTATTCGGTCTTTTGCCACATTTCTTCCTGCAGCTCTTCTTCCAGGTACTCTTCTAAAAAATCTTCCTCTTCGAACACTAGTTCATTCACATGAGATTCATCGATATGATCAAGGATATGATTGTTTTCGACGTAAGCTGCACTTTCTTCATTCAAATTGCTTCTGTCCATGCTATCCTCCAGCAAGACGTCGTCATCGAAGTTGTTACTAGACCACTCTAGTACGTTTTCTTCATACACAATATATTCGGATCCTGAAGGAATTTCGTCGCCGTCAACTGAAGATAAACTGTTGAGTGATGAGTTCGTACACGCCGGTGCTTCAGAGCTTGTGTTTTTACCTGAAATATTGTACAACTGTTAGTGGATCGATAAAAAATGAAATGTAGTTACATTCTAACCTTCTACACTTGCAACACAATCCAAGACACGATCATTATTTGGAGAATTCAGGAAAATTGTCGGAATCCAATTTTCTGCACTTGTTTCCGAAGGTTTGGCTGGATGACCTATAAACAAAAGCAGTTGTATTTAGTAAACGAGTATAAATTTTTTGTGCTTGTACACTCACCTTCTGTAAAGTGACGGCCGCAAATCCGAGCATATTCGTAATTTATATTTACACATCCAACAGCTTCAATCCACAAATATCTTCGAGTTGCTCCGAGACTGGTTTTCTGACTAGGAAATCGATGAAATGAAAAGGATCTATCTTGTTTTTTCGCGTTTTTCGAAATACAATACAAAACCATTTTTGCTAATTCTTGTTAATAAATTTTTGATTTGTACGTCACTTTAACACTTGACAATAACATCCAGTTAGTATCAAAATATTTAGTCCCCACTAGTGGGTTGTACCCACTCTGGCAGCCATTAGCTAGCGTGGAAAGCTGGATACTTTGCATTTTTTCTCTTGATTTGTTTTTTTTGTCGATCTTATTGTCTGTACTGAGTACCTGAGTGTTGCAAAGTCACTCGAAATGGTTGTCAACAAAATCCAACGATCAGGACCAACATAAATAGATTCGTTCGAAAGATAAAGTATAAGAATCAACACTCAAATTAAATTGTAAAGTAATAAGACAAATGTTTCTTAAAGGCAGGTTAAATTTGTTCATACTAATAAAAAAGTACGATTCATTCATCACAATAATCACTAATAATTGTAAACATCCTCAACAAAGACACTTAAACATCAAAATAAACGAGTCTGAGGGAAAGCATCAACAGAATATTCGATCTTTTGACTTGATATTGATCAGTTTTTTATTTGATAACCATTTTAAAGATTATTTCAAACTTTACAATATATTGGTTCAATCAAGCAAAAATTAATGAAAAAGTCACGAATCTAAAAAAATTCTCTGGGAAAAGGCACCAATTTGTGAGCGGTGTTAAGAGGATGCAAAAACAGGCAAAAAAACGCATATTTTTCATAATTGAAAGTGATCGACTCCGGACCAATGCTACCGACCAATAATGGAGTACCAATGCTACCGAGGCTAGGGAGGCTAGCTCCCACACCTGATCCCAACCTATCGACCCATCAACTTATGTAACGGGCACCAATGGCTTTACTTTTTTTCCAAATGAATGCGTGATCAGAGATTTTATGCCTCAGAAAATCCCGACGGATCCGACAGGGATTGAATATAGGCCCTTTGGAGTGAGAGCTGCCTTCGAACTAATCTATTTAAGGGCCGTAAGCCTTGGTTTTGGTCCTGATCGTAGGATTTTTTGACAACCAGTTCGAGTTAGAGTCGGTGTATAATGAGTCACGCCAAGAGAAAAACAGTTGAACTCGCATCACGGTTTTCGAAAGATTCCCTTTATTTTCACTTGGCAACAGAGGACTTTTACATCAACTTCAAATGACTTCTAGCGAGAGAAAAAAAATAGCGGCTGTTGTAATATTATATCAGTGATTTTGTCAAATTATCTTAACAAAAAAAATAGTAGCAATTCTCATTACTGATCATTACCAAACGTATACCATGACAATTTAATACTCACTGCGTGTTTATGATCATTTCTTCGATTATATTTTATATTTTATTGCAATACCTTTCGTGAACCTTTCATAGCATCGTAATGTTTGTTTACTTTGCACGATAGGTAGCCGGTTTGACAGTTCATTAGGTAGACTTGGCTTCACTCTTGGTGTGACTCATTATACACCGACTCTAGTTCGAGTGACTCCGCATCACTCAGGTTCAAATAGGTAGATTTCAACTTTTTATCTCCTACAGTTAACATTAAACAGTAGTATACTTCATTTGAAAAATATAAGCCTTTTAAAAATTCTTTCCCATAGCAACAGTTGCACATACGGGAAATTTTCGATAGTGGCATTTTGAAAAATGATAAGGTCTTAAATTAAACAGATGCGTAGACGTATTTCTGATCGATTGGTGATAAGGTTATTGAAATCGGTCCAGGGGCAGCTGAGTTATTAACGTTCAAAATCTTTCATAATTTTGTTACATGTTCCATTTTTGGTTTTCACAAAGTGTACCCCCATATAGAAATCGCAGACGTAGTTCTTCGTCAAAATATACATACAGTCAAGATTCCTATATTACGGAACCGTTCTTGCCGGATTCCTATACACAGCAAAAAAAAATGTAATATCGATCAACGTAATTCAAGCTGATGCATGAAATAATCATGTAATAGCAAAACGCAGATACAATATTACATCAATGGATGTAATTTTGTTCGCAAAATCGATGTACATCGTACAATGTGATTTTACACAACCGATGGATTGACCTGGTTGCAGCAGTTTCGATGTAATATTCAACAACTTTTTTTGCTGTGTAGTATGGTTGCCACTGGAACGTTTTTGAACCGCAGGCAAATTGTTAGTGTTATATTCGCAATCAAGGCCAAAAGACGACACTAGAGGAAAACAAGTTATCGTTAAGAGCTAACTGTTTATAACATATGACTTCGTTGGTGGTTGGAAAACTAATGAATCTCTTGCTCCTATTATTCAGGCAGGGTCTACTACATCTCCCCTTTTAGAAAATGTCATAAGAAGAGAGCCATTTTGCAATTCTGGATTCACGTACGGAACGTCGTAGGAAATCTCCAACCGGTTCAGATGACAGGGCATTTGTGTGAACTGAACTTCATCATCTTGAGCTGCAGCTTCATATCAACCATCGGAACAGGATTCGTACCAGATGTACTTCCCACTGGATCAGCAGCTTCGAGTGACATGGAACCAATAGCAATAGGGCCATCGGGAGTAACTAGTACTTCAGGATCACCCGATACAGCTACTTTTGGATATTGAACTTCATCAAGCAGGATTTCCAATGATAGTTGCTGCGTCACTTGCTCTGGACTAGAAATACTCAGAGGGAGAGATGGGCGGAGAAAACAAAATACAACTTGGCAGCAGGGATTTGTACCTAAATTATCTTGCAACCCTTGCTAGAAGCTAGCATTTCACATAACTTTTATGTTTGATTCGATTTATGTGCAAAATAATGATTGATTGCATCGCAATATTTTGTACATTTCTTGGTGCCATTAATTAACCATACTTACCTTACCAATCAGGCTAAGGCCTTGTTGTCCTCTGCTGTCCGAAAAAGTCGTCTTCACTCTACTCGATCCATGGCCACAGTTCGCCAGCCTCGTAGTCTGCGAAGGGTCCGCAGGT